GTCTGCTAATCCTTCAAGAGAACAACAGATGGCTCAAGGCCAACAACACTGCAAACCTGCCTGCATGCTACACTCGCCTGTCCACTCAGGCTACACACAGACCCATATAAATATAACAATGTAAATTCACCTGGAGGTCTCCCCCCCTGCAGGAGACATCTGCAAAGTTAAACTAAAGTTTTATTCTTGAGAATCTGTATCACTTCAACCAAAGTTTCATGGGAACTACTCTGTGCTCCAATTTTACAGCAAGAGTAGTGGCCCCATTCTTCAGGATATTATTAAGTAAGACAAATGGAGAGAGTGCAATGTAAAATATCTGGTTCTACCTTTAGCATTATCTCAGTTTCAGGCCAAATGTGGGGCACTATCCTCTTTCCAAAAGTGACAGCGTCTGATATCTAATTGCGTACCTGCTGTGATACGTTATTAGACACCACCCCAGATATGCCTAGAGTAAATGCTATAACCTGATGGGAGCTACAAGAAAACATATTAAGTTCATCTCAGTCAAGCGTAATTCTTGCCACAATGGGTTTGATCTCAGCAGGCAGAAGCTGCACAAATAGTAATTTGCAGCCTAAAGATGAACAGGAAGCACCGACTGGTATTGCATTATTACAGAACACCACCCTAACTGCAGCACAAAAAGACTATAGTTAGAATGACCCAGCTATGCTACTCATGGGAAACAACTCTGTACTTCCACCTCCCACCTACTCTCCTCCAGTTTTACGCTCTGCTGTTCCTCTCTCCACCCTGCTGTTACTCACTTTGTGTGTGTGTGTGTGTGTGTGTGTGTTCAGTCTCTCCAGGTGCCTGAAAGTGTTTGAAATGATAGAAAACAGATGGAAAGAGACAGAGAGGCTTGATCACACTGATACTGAAATATTACTATGCATATTAAAGTAAAAACAGTCATTGATATAGGAGTCAGGAAAAGGAGAAAGGTGTTTGAAATATGATACTGCCAGGGTAATAGTTTCATTTTTATTTAGTAGCTAAAAAGCTAAGTCATAAAAACAAAACAAAACTTTCCACTCACACAATGTTTCCTAACAGCTCCTTTACAAAGCGGACAAGGGTGAGACAGGAAGTGGGGTGGTACTCTAACAACCATACACGATTTGTGTATTCCCTCTGACCTGCCCGCACACTCCAGACACACCACATTATTATATAATGAGAACGGATTCAAGGAGTGGCCTAGCCTTCAGCTCAGGGGGGGGGGGGCTAGGGTATGAATACAGGCTCAAGAAAACTCATCACTTCTTTGTAAAAACTAAAGCCACCATTCACTACCATGGCTCAGAGCCAGGTTTCACCCTTCAGTGACAGGTATGCGGGGTAAACAAAACCTATCTGAGAAGCCAGTTTATCTGCAATACTGCAGTGGTGGCAGTTCAAGAAAAAAAAGAAAAAAAAGAAAAGTCAATTCAGCAACCACCACAACATTATTATTTGGCTACAAAGCATGACTCTCAGATCCAGGAAGGAGGCCTCCTGCCCTGGGGCTTAAAGGCAAAAAACCACAAGTACCCAAGCTGACGTCTTGGGCCACACCCTTCATTCACCACTGAGTCCTGCTTGGTGAAACTACCATTGTGAACACACCAATAAACCCACACGCTAAATCTTGAGCAAAGAATGTGTCAGAATACTTGCGATACAGGTAAAATGACTTTGCACTTTGATGACAAGAAGTACAAAGTCTTCCCTTAACCTCTAACAATGGTGTGAGCCATCCCACCAAAGGTATGTCCTTTAAAAAACACAAAAACAAACAACTCTTGTCTCGGTCAAATAGAGAAACACAGGCACTATTCATACCGCGTTTCTAATTATTTGTCTGGCTAGCAGGGATGGGCAGCTCACATTATATTGGACCTACATTCTGCATAGCATTAGCAATAATCATACATACAGAAGAGAGAAGACCCGGGTTAATCTGCAGTTACACCACATACCACACAGCACTACTAACATAATAAATATCAAATATGCTACTTTTGGTGAAAACTTAGCTGGTCTCGTCTTCTGGAGACACAGCGGGCTACGGAACGGCGTTAGCTAACCCGTTCTTGACATGTTTATGATTACCACGCTGACAGCAGCCATAATGATTGTAATTATCACCGCCTAGCAAAATCCGCCACACTTCAGTTCAAGCCAGAACAAGCGGTTCATGGGGCACTTGCTCTGCTAACTTAGCTGCACGTATCGGACGGACACTACCATGGGAAACAGTCCGATGAAATGTAGAAGCTAACGCGCTAACCTTTGCAGTTCACTCAAGTTGCTAGCCGTTTAGCAGCCACAGTGAACATACTACAAATGACAGCAGGCAAAGCTATACAGTTGTTCGTGATGAGTGATTTCCAACCTCAAACAGTCGTCTATTTCCTTACCTGAGGCTGATGGGACCTAGCTAGGGAATGTCCAAATAGCACCAGTCTTCCCAATGCGATGTCTTCTGTGCTTGACTCCTCACTCAGGGTAAGGGCGGTAACACAGGAAAAGGGAACCGAACAGTATATGAGTAACGTCTGGTTGAACGAATAGGATGGTAGTATCCCAAGCCTCAACCAATGGCACTAATAAACCCGCCCTTTCTCCTACAAGAGACCAATCATATGAAATATGGAGGAGGCAAACTGAAATAAAATAATAAATAGAGTAAAATAAAATAAAACAAAGTAACATAAAATTTCTCTATTTAAACAAAAATATATTTAAAAATGAAATAAAAAAGAGGTATTATTTTGACCAAATTTGGACAAGAATTGAAATGCACTGAGACGCTGAGATAAGCTTTGGATGATTGCCACTGCTACTCATCATGATAATTAAATATGACGTCTTTACAATAACTGAGTAAACTCCACCATGTGTTGCAGACTTTAAGGGCATGTTCATTTAAGATGAAATTCTACTAGGCTGCATTTAGAATCATATTAGTATATTATACTTACTATTCTATATTTTATCATTTATTGTCACTGTTCCACTAATATTAGATTTTGATGCAAATCAAACTCTCTCTCTTTCTTTTATGCAAACACAAGCATTTGCACAAAGCTTACACTGTGTACCAGGGCTGGACTGGGACAAAAAATCGGGCATTTTGACTAGAGACCGGCCCACCAGAAAAGCCATAAAGCCTTTGAATGAAAAGTGTGGTGCTGTGGCTCCAGCAAACATCAGCTGATACTAGAAAGTAATATTAAATAAATTCACAATAACAACAGCTTATCAAGCTTAAACGTGCTGCTGTTGTACAGCGGACACCCGCTGTTTTCCTCTGTCTTGCGCAAAGTGAGCGATAAACAAACAAGGGAGACGGGACTTGCGACAGAAAAGCCAATCAGCTTATCATTGATCAGTTTCATGATTGAAGTAACAACAGGAGAGGGAGGGGGAGAGGGTGAGAGAAGAAGAGATAGCTGTGCAAAGATACAGAATAACTCCAACTTTGTCTTTGTCTGATTGTCTGGGCGTCATAGAGGAGGCAAGTGATGTCCAGATAAACTACATCTAAGGACCTAAAGGAAGGAGGCAGCAGCAGGTCTCTCTCTTAAGCATGTATTTTCACTGAATGGTCTTTTCGGTCTGCCAGTGTGTCATGCACTTTTCATGATTAAAGACCTTAGCAAAGAAAAAAAAAGTTGCCGGCTCCAGCTCCTTCGTATCAATATTATTTTTCAGACAGTTTCCCCACGGCTCCACCAATCAGCTCATCTGGATCTGGAGTTTACCTGCATACATCCCATTCACTCTGTCAGTTTTTTCACACTTATTGCTGTTGAGGAAAAACTACACTAAAAGCCATACCTTGCTCAATTGTTTGTACCTTCTTGGCTTACATAAAACTGTACACGCAGTTTTATAAGATGCCTTGTCCGTAACACAAAAACTTCAGCAAAAGATGAGGGTGCTGAGACATGCCTCGGTTCCCTATTTGCTAAAGCTGTTAAGATAAACAGCTCAAGAATTTGAGCTGCACTGAGGCGCAGAGAGGAACATGGCTTTTAATGCAATCAGTTTTTCTTCATTCATCAACACATGCCTGAGAGAGGGTTAACTGGTGTCAGAGCACTTGGCTGTCGTTATGATTTGCTCCAGTGGTGTCAGACATGAGCGCCTTCCTCTAAAAAACAAAACAATGCAGGGTGGAGCAGGTTTCACATGGATTTTTGCACAGATGTTATCTGAGAGGAAAATAAGCCTCACTGCTTTAGCATCTGGTAATAAACAAAGGTTAATAAAGGCTTACAGATGCTGTCAGGTGGCTCCCAGCACTGACACTGACACAATTCAACCAGTATAGCCAGAAAAAAAACGAAAGACAAACCAGCTGGTAAAATGCACATTCAAACTTAAGCCATAACTAAACACCACTGTAATATTCCTACCAGTGTTTTTGATGCATTCATGAATTCATCAGTCGTTATAGCTCTCCACAGCATCACAACGCCTGCTGTTATAAAGTGAACAATAGCGTCCAGTGTCACACAGCTGCTATTCCCACACACAAAGCCACATTATATGTGTGCCATTGCAGAATTTATTACAGGCAAAGGAAAGTATTTAAAAAGGCTACAGAACAAAGAAAGGAGACCATAAAACACTCCGAATAGCCAGGTTTAAATTTAACCAGACTTTGCTATCTATGTACACGTTTAAAATAAATTACACCCTTTCCTTCTGTTATATC